CTATATACGGCTTTGACGGGTTCTTTGGTCTAATTGTACTAGTGTCTGGCTAAGAATCAACAGGTCATGGCTCTGATTTCCACCGTGTAAAACATGTTTCTAATAGTTTTTACTGAAACACGTTGGACTTCGTTTGGAAATCTGGACATTATCTGGGAGTAATATCTAAACTCCGCCCGGGTAACGAACTATACCCACAGAAGAACCCGTTAAGTTTCAATCACGTTTTCAGTTTTCAAAGCCAAAATAGGTCGACCGTGTATCTTGTTGCGATGTTACATGGCTAGGGTATATCACCTTCCATTAAGTGAAGCTTTTGCTTACCTGTCCTTCTCTGTCATAAAAAAAGAGAAAAAAAAAGGATTTACAACTATATTTCTAAGGTAGCAAATTTCACAATAATTACAATTCTTATTTCTAATATATAAAATTCTCGTGTCACGGTGTTCGAACTTGAACTCCTCCGAAACGGCTCGACAGATTTTCACCAAATTTGATTTGTGTATTCAGTAGGTCTGAGAATAGGACAACATCTATTTTTCATCCCCCTAAGTGATAAGGGTTGTTCAACCTTAATTTTTTTTTTTAGTCAAAATTTTTAATCTCATTTTTTTATGATACAACATACAAAAATACATACAATCCTCAATTTTCACCCTTCTACGATCAACCCTTATTTTTTAATAGACATTTTAGTAAAATTATTTATATGGCAAAACAACGTTTGCCGGCTCAGCTAGTATTATATAAGATACTATCTATCCTACCCCATTAGCTAAGTAGTTAGGAATGCAACCATTTAGTAAAACAAAAGAGTAATGTAGAGATGAAAATGGTTTTCCGACTCCATTCCATTTTTTTTGGTACTAGCGTTAGAGAGTTTACCATTGACATTTAACTTGAATGCACTATTCAAGTAAAATGTCATACGCCTTTTATATGGCTAACCTCTATAGTCAAATGGTTAAATGTGTATAGCGTTAAGCGCAAGAGATCTGGGGTTCGAATCGCGGGAAAATAAATTTATTGTTTCAGTCGGTCATGGCACTAACGTCTGATCAACTATGTTCATCGAATGGTCGATAGAGTTAATATTAGTTTATGCATACACAAAAAAGATAGAGAGTAAAAGAAGATACAGGTGATTAGTAAATCGGACACAGAAATATATCTGCCCCATGGCCCACGAAGGGAGAATGGTATTTACTAAAGTTCTTTACTTAATTAAGTCGCGAATTACCATTTGCGTTTTTTTGTAAAATTATGAACTACCCTCATTAAAATGCGAATATTTATAAACCTTTCAACGGATTAGCATAATGTAGACATGAAGACGAATAAACAGCTTATAAAATTTTATGGTTCTTTGTTTTAGTAGTTGCACCTTTTTTCTATTAGAAGAGTCATTTTGGATATCTTATTACGATGAAAAACAACTTCTATTTGTTTTATTTCACATAATGAATAAACATTTAATCGAAAATTTATGTATATGCATGTACTTTTAGTTTTCCTTTTTTACGAGATGTAAATATGGTTTACAAAATTGAATTATAAAATTAAATTTGATGAAACGAAACCTGTTGTTTACACAAAATTAAACAACAACAATGATATACTAAAACAGGCAGACGTATTCGACATTGTTGATAATAATTTCGACAATAAATTAATGTTTTGACAAATGCTTATCAAGAGCCATTCAATTGATAATTCGCTGAATTTAAAATATACACTATGGTTGTGACAAGCTGCGTGTATCGTTACTGAGTAACGAATACTTCGATTAATTCTAGATACTGATATCTTTATTTAGAATCAATTTCGTTAACCTGGGTGCCGCATTTCAATGTAAATTATGTATAGGATAATAAATATTCCCATACCTTTAGTATTAATAGGAAATGGTACGAAATGATTTGCGATTCAATTGTGAAATATTTTTTTTGGTTTTCAACAATATTATTGCTGGTCTGTTTAATTCTATCTTAGTACAATGTTATTTTTAAACAATATAAGGTTAAAGATTACTATTATATAATTAAAACTATAGTAACTGATTACAATACATTAGTAATGTATTCAAAAAAATAACAAAATGGTTTATAATTGTAAAAAACAGATTCGACCCAGTATTAATGTTTTCTTTCATTACAGTGAAATGACGTAGAAAATATTACAATAGGTAATTAACAGAAATGGTCGATCTATTTTGATTTTCGGAAATAAACACTAAAACCTAGACGTCTATTACCACTTTGCTGATTTTATAACTTTTCTGAATACTGTCTATAGTTTACGCGAGTAGTACCGCAAAAAAAAAAAAAACCCCCCCCCCCCCCCCCCCGCCCCGACCCCCCCCCCCCCCCCCCGAAAAAAAAAACACATTTAAATAAAACACTTCAACGGTTTAAAACGCGATAATAAGATAATATATAGACTTCATTGAACTAAGCCCAACGTTTAAACGCAACTTGGTGTAAAACTCGAGCATGATAATATTAATTTTGGACCCGGTAGGAATCGAACCCGCCCATAAGCTACCACTACACCAACCGTCAAACAAAAAGTTCAAAATTAGTTTGCACGTCGCACATAAAACACATTAGAACCGTCGCCAATATATTTTTTCCCGTTAAATGATTTAGTGTGGTCTCACAGCGTAATAAAGATAATATGATTTACGATACTTTTAGACTTGGATCGGCCGCGCGATAAATCGTATAAGTCCTTATAATTGACGGATTTCCAACGTTCGTGGCGGATGTAGGCAAGGTAAGTGATGTTATGGGCCGCCGTAGATAAGCTATTTCGTTACTACAGAGTTATTAGTACTTTAACAGATATACATGGTATTTGGCATACATATCCAATATTTTAGTCTCTGAACAATGGTGAATACCGGATTTGACCAGATTATATCATATTGTTATCTATGTTACATTACAATAAGATTTACTATTAATTTAAATCATATTAACACAAGGGTGTGTAGTAGTAGTTTTTTTTAAGATTAAATGTTTGGAGATAGTACAATTATGATACCGAGACACGCTAGCTCAATTTATAAGGACGATCAGCTGTGATCGAGGTTCCCTTCTTACTCGCATCCAAAAATTTAACCCAAAATAAATTATCAATACACATAATTGCAAATCCAACTGCATTTTAGTTTTAATTTTTAAATAAATTTTACAATAGCTACATTTTTTATTTTATTTTAGTGCAACTCTTAAAGTATTGTGTCTACGTGACCACTATCTGTAACTATACGTACTTGATGCGGATTTGTAACGATTCGTAGCGACTGTATCCCAGAAACGGGGATTCGGTAATGTGATTGAGTTTGTATCCCACCTGCGTTCTACGAACTATCTTCTCTCAAATAGTTCTTAATTTAAAATTGAAACTCATTTTAAATATCGTTATATTCTTATCAGCCAGTCTAATAAAAAAAATCAGTAAAGTTAGTAAAATTCTACTATTTTTACCTTTTTATTAAATTTACACATTAATATCGAAAGAGTTATATAGTAACGGATAACACATTATGAGTACATCGATTTGTTACGTAACGCGTTACGGCGCTGCGAAACGACTGGTTCAACCTATATCCCCTGAATTTGGAGTCGTAATTGACTAGCATGTGAGTTGTAAATAAAAAACGAATGTTGTAATTGATTTGCTTTAAAGCGTTGAATTTTTAAATTAATTACATGCTTAATACAAATAGTGCGGGAAGCTATAAAATTACAAATTCAATTTAAAAGGTACCTTATATTAGGTTGCATGAAGTTTTTGCATAAAAAAAAGAATATTACTTATGTTGATTATTATGATACGATCCGATTTAAAAAAACGGATTTATTTAGTGTATAGATACAGAAATTACAATTTTGGTACCTGTATCGTATGTATAATCTCTAAAATTAACTTTAAACGGTTTAATACGCGAAACATTTTACTAGTTAGTAAATTTTTTTATAATTAATTTTAACTATGGCTACAAGTTTAAATGTTTAAAACTATTTTTTTTTAATGTGTACAACTAGCGTAAATTACAGACCAGTACCTTTTATATATACCTAGTATAAATCAATCCTTAGGCATTCACACGATCCCTCACTATAAACATAATATCCAGCCCTACTCGTATAAAAGTGAAAATTTATTCGATAAAGCCGGGTGAAGTGAATTTTATTTCGCGTTGTGTGCTTTGTAAGCGCAGCGCTAAAATAGTAGTTTGAAATTGAATTTTTGTCATGCAAATGGGATTTCGTGCGTTACTGTCATTATCTCGAAGCCATTGTTAACGCAGTTAACGCGATGCCAGAGTTATATCGACTCGAACCCAGGGCCCTGATTCTGTTGTTTACACTGCACTTGTACTGTACAGCCTGGTTAGCAATTACTACTAACACAATAGACAAATACTCTCGCCACACTTCTAGCTTTAGCACAATACCGTTTCATTTCGTTTGTCAATTGTCTGTCCGTGAATTACCAGAATCAGAGCCCTGTGTAACAACGCTTCACAGTTTAAATGAATGCGTTCACGTGATGTTTGGTTTACAGATTATAGCATTGTTTGATAATGTTAACTGTTTCATGTGGTGTTTATTGATTTTAATTTAACGGATACTATTGAAGTCTATGAAAATGTGAGAAAATATTTCGTGTTTTATTATTGTATAAAGTGTCGATCATCAGTCGACACCCAACAATTTACTTCTAAAGGTTCTTTAGTACGACCATTTCTTGATATTTTGTGATCACACCAAAAATAGGTAATAAATTGTACGTGTTTTAGTTTATAATTCAAAAGTACCATAATTATGATGATAGATAACTCAAATATACATCATAAACACACTTATAAAAATATCTTTATTATATAAGCAAAACAACCATAATACGTTGTTTTTTTTTGTACTGAATTAACTATTTTATATTTATCTAAAAAGAGAATGACTATGGAAACTCAATTTATATTTTTTATCTCAGATTACTAACCTTCTAAAATCTCTACTCCAGCAGGCGTAGATAACTGGATTCATTGAGGAGTTTACCCACCCCAGCCAAGTCACCACAACATTCACAATTTCCTCATGAGCTATACACGATGAACATATCCCAGACAGTAAGTTCACCACAAAAAAAGGCAACCAACACACTATGAACACTCCCATCACAATACCTAGGGTTTTAGCCGCTTTCTTCTCTTTCGCGAACTTAGCAAGCTTACGTGAAAGCGAAAAGTTCTTTGGCAAATGTTTATTGTGGGTAACGTTTGTCAAACGAGTCGACGATCGCGACAGACCGTTGTTCTGTAACGCAGTCAGTGGTTCCTGGTCTGGTTCTTCGGGAGTGCAGACTCCGTGACACACCTCACTTCTCTGCCTCATCGTCCCTCCCCTGTGAATCCGCAATGTTAACTCTAACTCCCCGCTTGGCCTCATCACCTGCTTTGTCCCAATCTTCAATGACCTCGTCTGTATTGTCGCGGCCCGGTAAATGCGATAATACGTGAACACCATAACAAAGAGCGGCAAATAAAACGATATCGTAGACGAGAATATGATGTACTCCAAGTTTTCCGTAAAGGGGCATTTGTAGTCCGGAACCTCTTCTAAGCGGACGGCCCGCCACCACGCAATCGCAGGAAAGGATATTGCCCCGGAACACACCCAAACGGCCGCAATAAGAAAAGCCGCTTTCCGTCCGCTCATCCGCATCGGATATGTAATAGGGTCTGTTATGGCCCAATAACGGTCCAGCGATATAACGCATAAATTCAGAATCGACGCGGTGCTAAATAATACGTCTAGGGAACGCCACACGTCACACCAGTCCATGCCGAAGAACCAGGTGTGTTCGAGGACTTCGTATAGCGCTGAGAACGGCATCACGACCAGACCGACGAGGCAGTCGGCTACTGCTAGTGATGTTACGAAGTAGTTAGTAGACGTATGTAGATAGCGTTCTCTAATAACCGCTAGGATGACCAGCATGTTCCCAAAGACGGTTGTCAGGGAGAAGAGTAGGAGAAAGGTGACAAGGAGCGCTCTGTCTTGCAGTAGAGTGATGTACTCTTCCCAGGGTTCTCTTTCTTCGGTGATGTTGAAAATGGTGGTGTTCTCGTAGGATGCATTCAGTTCAAGGACAGCGTTGTATGCGGCGCCCGCTGGCTCAAAAGTGTATTGGGGTCCTTTGTACAAATCGTAAAGTTGGCCGCGTGCCACTAGTATTTCCGTATCTGTCGTATTCATATTTTCCCAATGGCTATTCGCTCTCTAGCGCCATGGTGAGTTTTTATGTTTTCCTTGTTTCACTCGGAGCCATTTGGAGATTACATTCTTGGCAGGCATTTTGTTCTCGGATACCGGTTTCGAGGACATATTGCGTTCGCATAACTTGATATATCGTCTTGGACCTGGAACAAAGTTAACAAACATTGTAGGGTATTTATTACACACAGATCAGAAATAATGTGACTTCGAAATACAGACGAAGTAAAATTACTTATAGATGGGGACATCTGTGCCTAAATTCGAAACCTTCTAATACAGTTAATTGCTTTTACAAGAATCCATAATCATATGCAAGGTTTTATTTTTAATTATTCTAACAGTCTAATTTTGACGACTTTTGTTAATTCTCTAACATCTTCTACATTGAATCGTAATGAAATATTAATATGAATAACTCTTGGCGTAATCCTATAAATTAAAAAGATCCTTAGTTTTCTCAAGCGTTACTTCGGTACACTCTGCTTAAACTCTTTATCGTGAGTGCTATTAGGCTATAGAGTGACATAGATTAACACATATACAGTTGCCCTTAGCTCGATAAATAGTGTTTAGCGAAGAGGAGATCAAACGAAATGTGCTCTATGAGCCGTGCTCGTCCCATCCACATGACTCGCTCGCAGCTCTACCCGCGTAAACACATTTTCACGAACAAACGGAGGAATCATATACTAGAATGGAACACTTGTAACGGGTTGATACGCGAAATATTTAAATTTACTAATTAATTGTATCTATCGAACGCATGCTGGCGTTCTAGCTGGATGCCAGTCCAAGTGCCATACGTGTTACGATTTCTTTTTAAATCTAAATGGATATGTAATGTATACGATGCCACCATAATTAATTTTTATTTAATTTTTAATTTAATGTTTATAGAGCCAGAATATTGCTATATAATAAGTTAAATAAAATTCACTTTATTATATTTAAACTAAACTAACACTAGTAGTAGTAGTTCATATGTTTAACTAATATATATCACGTTTTAAACTGTTAAAAGTGTTTTGTTTATATGCATTACACTACAGGGATTATTTACTTAAAACTAACCTTAGTACTTAAATTAGTTTTGAATCCTGTATGAATTCGCTGTATTTTCTGTAATTTATGTGAAAATTAATTTTCATAAAATCCGTGCTTATTTATCACTTCGAATCCTATATTCTCTTTCGTAGAAGTTGATGGATTCATGTTTGACGGACAATCCTTGAGATTAGATTGTGAATTGTTTGCCGACAACAATGAGAGGGGATTTGGAGGAATCGAAAAATGTTCTCTTTGTTTGCAACAATCTGGTGATACAGAAATCTACGTGTTACTTTAAAAAAAATAACACATAGTGGCGTCCTATTTTTGTGTCTCGGAGGAACGTCACTTTTCAGTGTCCATATTTGATTTTGTTTACAGAAAATTATTTTTCATTCTGATTTAAATGCCATGATTATAAAACTTAGCTACGGTGATACGTTTAAAAAAATTGCAATATTGAATAGCAAAATAGGTCGACAACATATCGTAGTAGATACTAAATTAATGGGATATTTTAACTTAGATCAATCAACCCCTATCCTTGTCTGTCCTACGGCACATAACAAATAAAAAATAATGAGAAGAATGTTTAGGCTAGGGTAAACGTTTGGTTCAGGGCGAAAGCCGTTTGAAGCCTTGAAGTGTTGGCAGAGATTAGATAGATTTTGTCTTTAAGCTAACGAGGTTAATGAAAAACGAAAACATTGGAAATCTCAACGTCCCATTGGTCCGGGATGTAGGACCATTGTCCACAAATGAAAATTGCATTGTGTAAATTACCGAAAATACAAAGCCAATAAAGCATTCAAACAGCGTCATCAGGAGAAGCCCACGCTTTTCTCTCCAAAAATACCAACCAAGCTACAAGTATATATAGTGGCCTCAAGAGGTAGCGTAGCCTAATAGTTAAACTTATTTTCGCCTAAGTTAATTGCGCATTTTCACTTTCCTCCTTATTGAAAATCATGTTTTTTGTTTTTAGGCCACTCTGTCTCCAGGAGCCTCATTTGTACCAAATAAAAGAAAAGGCTAAACCAATCATTACTTTATTAACCTAACCTTTTGTGGCCACGAAAAGTTAATTATCATCAAAACAATTGCCGGTCGCCGGCAACTGTCGCCGATCTATAATTCATTAGCAACACATTAACGATATCATTTTGTAGCAGACGTTTCGAGAAATGGCGGGAATTTGTGACGATTCTGACAAGGGGAGGTAATCAAGTCTATTCACGTTAGCTGAATGCTGCTGCTGTCAGAATGGCCAATATTAATGTGTGAGGCCTGTCTCTAACACGAAAGCTGGTCTCCGCAGTTCTGTAGCTGCTTTTCACCAAATGTTGGGTTTGTGTCTTACGCGACAGAACGAAAATATATGATCAAGTGCGATATATACATATTTATGTATTTATTTTATATATATATAAACATTGATAACATATACTATTTTTTTTTTTTTTTTTTTTTTTTTTTTTTTCCAAAAAAATTTTTCTTTTTTTTTTTTTTTTTTTTTTTTTAAAAAAAAAAAAAGGGGTGGCGGTAACATGTAATAATATATTATATTTCAGCCAATAAATTTATAATTATAAAGAAATATTAATTCAACTTGTTACGTTTGAAAGCCCTCCATAAACCATTTTATTCTTAAAAGTTTTAGAAAATATTCAATGTTTCATACTAACAATAAGAATAACTGACGATGAACGGAAGAAGTGTACGAACTCGGTAGCTTAAGCTTGGTTATATAGCAACAGCACGGATCGCTGAGTTTTGATGCTCAATAAGCACTTAACTAAGTTAAATGTAATATACAAAACATATTTTAGAATTCTTTGAGCAATCGAGGAGCTAACATCTCCTGATGATGCAGTACGCTCGTAATGGATAAACGTCGAGAACCTCTTCTCGCTTACGTCGGCCGAAAAGCCCGAAAAACAATGATATGCTAACGATGGCCGTAAAACCCTTATACAATGTATTAAAACATATTTTGATTGAATAAACTTGAAGATGACGTATAAAACAGGGTAGTTAATTTGGTTGGAGCAGCACCAGGAAACAATTTTTTTTAATTTCCGAGTCGTATGCATTGTGCAATAAAATGTAAAAAAAGCTTTTCAAAATATGTACCTTATTAATTATTAAAGTTCTTATCTTCATAAAACAGCGCACGCCATTTGACATTTGACGTTCGATGTTTGACGTTTGAGGTTTGACATTTGACATTAACATATGACGATGTAAGCTACATTGTCCTGTTTATATTCGATTTTATCTACGATGACACCTTGTCCATATCATTGTAGGGTAAAATAATAACGTCGATGCCATATATTCCAGGCAAATATATAATAAGCGGAAAAATCTCACAGCTCTGTCCTAATTGAACTGAGAAAGAAATGCGATTACGACCATTATTCTCCCTGTACTATCGTTTTTACACTCCAACGGAGACGTCTTCTAACTATGGCACAATAATATCGGGTACGATACATTAGACTTCTCGTTTTGTTATAGAGTTTTATATTAGGAAAGAATTCACAATTTACACAGTTTTTAGTTACAAGTACAAAAATATACACATACCTATTAAGATTGATTAAATTGTCCATACTTTGTCTCTTAAATGAGATGGAAATTACAAGTATCAATATTTTAATATAAATTTGGCTTTGTTTGATATAAGCGAGCTCGAAAACCACAGAAAAAAACATTATTACATTGTCTGTTCACGCAAGCTGTACTCATTTAAATAGAATTTAACGGTTTAAAACACGAAATATATTAGTTTATTTTAACAGGAAGACCCCGTGACCACGATTGCTGCAAAGCGATCGAAACGCCGGCTTTAAATAAATTAACTACTATTTTTCGCGTTTTCAACCGTTAAAAGTGTTTTAATTTAATATAACTAAAATATAGTATTTAAGTTATGCAGCTTTTGTATTAATGGTGGTTCTCGTCAACCGGGTTGATTATAAAATGTTTTATAAACACGTTGGACCCGATGGGAATAGATTCTATAACCCGTTCCCACTATCCGTCTTTATTTAAACGACCTTAATGTAATTGATTACTCTACTATAATTTGTCACACGAGCGAGTGCGGGAAATCTGAAAACTTACAAATATTGAAAAATAAGTCTGGAAAGCGGTAATACAAACTCATCGGAACTTGAGTTTGTTCTAGCAGATATTATTATTTTCAAATCTATTTTTCTTACAACTGTTAGGCTGTCGTCTCCTATAAGTTGGTTATAGGTCGCGGCACAGATGTTTAGCGCTAAACGAAATGTAGAGGGGATAGTTGCACATCTGTACAGTCGCGTACGTAATTGATTGGAAAACGTGACTGTACTCAAGATGCAAGCGGAGCGTCGGTCCGAGAAAGACAAATGACTGGGGAACCAATCAACGCCCGCGCACATGACGTTCACTTGCCCCGCGCCCACTTCCGTTCCTTCGATACCTTATTTTTTACTCCTGCGCAGGATCCGTTCAGCGCTAAAGATCCGTGCCGCTACTGATACTATTAGTTCTTGTTGATCTGGAATGTCTTATACGATAAGGGGGGTCTTATTCACGACTGTAGACAGTAGATTTCGGGGGTCGTTGGTTTAATGGAAGCAAAGACCGATAATCAACTCGTCTATCCATACCGGGTCCAATATGTCAAATCAATTTATAATTTTTCTAAAAGCTGTTTGGTCATTATTCTAAAAAAAATATCCTAAAAGGGTGGCTATCGAATATTGAATTTTGTTTCACGAACCACCGTCCGCAGGTTTAGTCGCGTTTCGGTTGCAGTCTATGGATTTAAAAATTATATAAAGGCTAAATTGATTGACAGCACATCTTGTTGAGATGTTATATGGCTAAGGTATTTCCCCAAAAAAATGCGCGTTAAATACAACAATATGATAATAATT